GGGGGAGGGAAGGCCGAGCAGGCGAAGAGCAGAGACCGGCGGCAGCTGGTGCGGCGGCTGGTGCGGCGGCTGGTGCTCGACCCGCGGACCGGCAGGGGCATGACAGCCGCTCGGAGAACACTCAACAGCAGCATCCCCAGAACCAACACCCCTAGAGCAAGAACCCCCTACAGCACCGGCGGCACCCCCAGGCCCGCCGAAACAGACCACGCCAGGGGCCGCAGGACAAACACCCTCCTCAACGCCAGCACCTCGAGAGGCCAAGAGCTGCAGCGGCGGCAGTGGCGGCGACGGCGGTAGCGGCTGCGACGGCGGCGGCGGCTGCGACGGCGGCGGCAGCGGCGGCGGCGGCGACTGCGACAGCGGAGGCGGAGACACCGGGGAAGGGGGACGCGGCAAGGACGGGCCAGGGGGACCACTAGAGTCAGCAGACTCCTCAACGGGGACAACCGACCGGGGGGGGTGACATGGGAGACACCAGACGGGGCAGGACGAGGCGGGGGGGAGGGGGCTACCGGGGAGAGGGAGCAAGGAACAGGGGGGGGGAAACGGGAGACCTCGGTGAGGGAAGCGACGATAGAATGAGACAGACTTGTCAAAGGTGACGTCACGAGAGTGAACAGCGGGAAGCGGTGAGACTGCGGGTGGTAGAACAGCCAGTCAGATGAGTCCAGGGGGAAACCGAGGAAGACACAGGGGACCGTGCAGGCAGTGAGCTTGTCCGTGCCAGAGGCACGAACGTGAGCAAGGCAACCCCAGACGTGGAACGCAAACGCGTCACCCGGGGACCCAGTCCAAAGGAGGGTCGGCGAAACCTGCGGCCGCCGGGAGCGTGGTGAGCAGCGTAGCGAACAGCGAACGGCCACAAAAAATGGGGGGCATCGGCATGAATCATGGAGGTGCGAGCAGCCTCCATGACCAAGCTGATGCGGCGCTCAGGAACCCCATTCTGCTGTGGCGAGTCCGGCAAGGTGTACGACTGGGTGATGCCCTCCGCACGACAGAACTCTCCAAGCCGACCAGAGGCGAACTCGCCGCCACGGTCGGAGTGGAGACACAACAAGGGGAGACCGCGGTGAAGACGCGCAGCCACAACCCACGGTAGAAGAACATCGGGCACGTCGGCCTTCCGCTCCAGGGGAAACACCGTGGTGTAGCGCGTGTAGTCGTCGACGAGCACAAGAAAGTAGCGCTCGCCGCGCGGTCCGGGGACGGGGGCTGGGCCCCAAACGTTCAGGTGCAGGGTCTAAAGGGGAGCAGTAGCAGGGTGAAGCGAGGAGGAGTGAGGGGCACGGCGGAGCCGGCCCTCGACGCAAGGCGTGCACGGGGGAGCAGACGAGGGGGGAAGGGCGGGGAGCGATGCAGGGAGGCCTAAGACAAGACCGTGCTGGGACATGTGACGCAGACGCGGGAGAGCAGGGTGACCTAAGCGGTGGTGCCACAAAAGGGACGGGTGAGAGAGGGACCGACACGAGCAAGCTACAGCGACCTGGGAGGACACAACCACCGGGGGGGAAGCGGTGTCGAGGGTAAACAGACCGGACATCGGGTCGCGGGGGGACGTCGCAAGAGGGGTACCTGAGACAGCCTCGGTACAGACGGCGAACCGCTCGTGCCCAAGGAACGTAGTGGTGACGCCGAGGTCCTAAAGACGGCCGACACCAACTAGGTTTCTGGAGAACGAGGGAACGTGGAGGCCGGTAAGGGAGCCCGAGGGAACGGCTGGACAGGGAAGAAAAGTGGAGCTGCGATCGACAACAGGACCCGCAGAGGGGTCAGCAAGAGCGACAACAGTAGGCGCGGCAAGCGGCGTGAGCGTGGAGCGGTCGCGGAAGAAACAGGCAGAAGCACCGGAGTCGAGAGTGAAGGACAGCGAGGCAGTGGCGGAGGCTGGGCACGGGGCTGGTGCCGGAACGAGGCTAGTCAAACTAGGCAGTCCTACGCCTGACGCAGCAGGGGAGGCTAATCTACACAAGGGTGCTACACCTAAACTAGAGTACACAGGGTAGTAAGATCCAGCAACACTAGAAGTGTCAGCATACAAGGCATGCAAAGCAGCACCTAGCTGATCCATATCTAACTCAAAGATCGGCACGCCCTGGCGAAGCAGGCTGTGCTAGTCGGGGAGGTCCGGGGCCGGGCCAAAGCGAAGACGAAAGAGATCGTCGAGGCGGCGGAAACAGCGGGCGGTCGGGTGCGGGCGACGGCACAGAGTGCCGCGGAGAGGCCTGGTCTGAAGCTGGTACTGGCAAGTCGCACCTCCGGAGCTGCCAGTAGACGCCAAGCTGCGCGGGCCACCACCACGGCCACCACCGACGGAGGTGCCGGGCCAACCCGGCGGAAGACGAGCCCACGACGGGGGCTGGGGCTGCTGCTGCGACAAATGCGACTGCTGCGACGGCTGCTGCGGCTGCTCCTGCTGCTGGGGCGACGGCTGCTGCTCCTGACTAACTGCGGCAGTCCCCTCAGTAGAGCCACTGTCCCCGGCACCACCACCACTACCATCAGCTCCACCACCCCGCCCTCCCTGGCGGCCACGACCTGCGCGGCGCGAGCGCTGCTGCGGGTGGACCGCAGCTGCAGTTTTGGTCAAAGGGGTCGCAGTGGTGACCGCAGCCGAAACGTCAGTAAACGTGCACTGGGAGGGGGCACAGCCGTGAAAGATAGAGACTGCCGGCGCACCGCTCGACTGAGCGATAGTGCGCTGGCAAGTCTTGATCTCGGTCAGGGCGGTGACAAAGGCTGGCAGGGTGAGGTCACCCGGGTGCTGGCTAAGGATGAGGTCGGGTGCACTAGCAAGGCGGTCAGGCAGGCGCATAGCGATAAAGTAGAGGGTCATGCAGAAGGGGGGGGGGAGCGCAGTGAGCTGGGCAGCAGTGCTAGCAGTGCGGTAGCGCGACTCTAGGGCTCGCAAGTGAGTGGCAAGATCAGCAACAGTAGGGAAGGAAGCAAGGTCTGGGAAAGCATAGGGAAGAGCAGGTGGCCGGCAGTAGCGGAGGCAGGCGTGGAATAGCGAGCAACAACAACATCTAAGTAAGCCTTGGCTATATCAACAGTAGCGAAACGCGAACGCTCAGACGCAGGGAGAGCGTGACTGATCGCGACCTGAGCAACAGCATCGCGAGAGTCCCAGACGGCACAAGCAAGTGCATCAGCAGAGAAAGCCACACTCTCAGCAGAGGTGGGGTCAGTAGGGAGGGGAGCAGGCGTAGGGGGGCAGGTGAGCAAGCCATCAGCATGGACAACCAAAGAGTGCCCATCCTGGCGCTGACCTGTGAGTTGACGACGGAGATCGGACAGCCAGGCGGCGAAGTCGACCGCATGGCCCCTCAGCGTCCAGGCGGAGTACGAAGTCAGCCATCGTGCAGGGTCAGCGACACAGCTCCTCAGCGACACAGGGACACAGCGGCACAGCTCCACAGGGACACAGCAGGACAGCTCCAGGAGGACGGCTGCAGGACGCTCCAGCGCTGGTGAGCAGAGGACACAGGGGCTGGAGTTGCTGGGCGGGCGGAACGGGGCCGGGCAGGCGCTGTGAGCCGGGCGGGCGCGACGGGGTCAGACGGGCGCAACAGGCCAGGCGGGCGCGGCCGGGCCAGGCGGGCGCTAGGAGGGGCCGGGCAGGGCTAGGACGGGCCAGGCAGGCGCTAGAAGGGGCCGAGGAGGCGCGAGGCGGGGCCGAGCGGGCGCTAGGAGGGGCCGGGCGTGCGCTAGGCAGGGCTGAGCGGGCGCTAGGACGGGCCGGGCATGCGCTAAGCAGGGCCGAGCGGGCGCTAGGAGGGGCCGGGCATGCGCTAGGAGGGGCCGGGCATGCGCTGGGCGGGGCCGAGCGGGCGCTAGGAGGGGCCGGGCGGGCGCTAGGAGGGGCCGAGCAGGCACTGGGCGGGGCTGGGCAGGCGCTAGGAGGGGCCGGGCAGGTGCTAGGAGGGGCCGGGCATGCACTGGGCGGGGCCGAGCGGGCGCTAGGAGGGGCCGGGCGGGCGCTGGGAGGGGCCGGGCGGGCGCTAGGAGGGGCCGGGCGGGCGCTAGGCAGGGCCGAGTGGGCGCTAGGAGGGGCCGAGCGGGCGCTGGGAGGGGCCGGGCGGGCGCTAGGGGCCAGGGTGGCGCGGAGGGGCCAGGCGGGCGCGACGGGGCCAGGCGGGTGCGACGGGGCCAGGCGGGCGCAACGGGCCGGGCGGGCGCTAGTGGCGAGGGTGGCGCGAAGGGGCCAGGCGGGCGCGACGGGGCCAGGCGGGCGCGTAAGGGACGGGCGGGCGCTAGGGGCCAGGTGGGCGCGAAGGGGCCAGGCGGGCACAACGGGGCCGAGTGGGCGCGTAAGGGACGGGTGGGCGCTAGGGGCCAGGTGGGCGCGACGGAGCCAGGCGGGCGCTACGGGTCGTACGGGTGCTAGGTCGAGGTAGGGGGGGGGGGAGGTAGGCTAGGGCACGGGCGGAAGCGGGTGGGTGGACCTAACCTACGCATGATACCATGTTAGAATGCAAGAATGAATGACTAGTGCGAGAAACCTAGAACATATACCTGTTGGGGTTGTACTCACTAGAAGCACACACCTAGGCTAGCCTATAACTTCTACATACAACATATGTATAAGTTGACATTTTCATCAGGGTCAGTACAAGCAAACACCCTGAAAAAAAGCGTAAAAGGCGTAAAAATTGTTGGAAATATCTCAAAGGACTTAAGCGTTTCTGAAGTATAACACTGTACTCGAGGAAGATTACAGGGGAGCACGCGAGTCAACGGAGGTTGCACGAGGGGGCGGACAAAGAATGCGAAAAGACTCGAAAGGTCGCAACTGGAGGTTACGACTGACCGTTACAACATCACGGATGGTAACCGAAGCGGCAATCGAGTCGCTGTGCGACTCGATAAACCGTTCCTGTAACTGTATTCTACAACTGCTTTCTTATCCTCTATATATTGTTGTATGCTTGTTTCTTTAATTAATCACTTGTTCTCATATAACTAGTACAAGGGTTCAACTGCCTCAACTTCCGCTGCACTACTCAAGTCTTCACAGCCGGGACTTAGTCTCTGAAAAGATCCTAAGGGCTTTTTCTCAGCCCAATATGGTATGAGAGCTGGTCAGAGACCAAACTCCCAGCAACTGCGCTCCATCAACCTGCAACTCAACTCAATTCAACGACTTCATTGATCACAAGACATGGACAGCAAGGGCAAGAAAGTCTCTACGGGCTCACCCAGCGGCCAAGAAACTCAACACGGCAACTCTGGTCTGCACACCTCAGGACTGCAGACAGAGACCGGGACTGCTCAAGAAACAACGGGAAGAGTACCAGAGATGGTGACTCCATCTCCCTCTTCAAGCGTGGACCCCAACCTTATGGAAAGGTTCTTCAGCTTCATGTCGCACTTCGACCAGCAGCAGCAGACAAGGACACCTGCGCATTCAACACAGAGCAATGGAGGAAACATGGGATTAGTGCCGATGAGCCTCGACAACTCATCGTTTGGGCGACACAATCAAGCGCCTACCTTTGCGCCTTATCACTCTTCACCGGGGACGTTCGAGTTCATGCCGCCCCGTGCCCAACCAACAGCAGCTGCATCACAACAAACACCAAACGAAATCTTAAGTCTCCAGGCGCATTTTTCACACGTGATTAAACTGCAGACATCCTCACCGTTCAACGGACACGACTTCTTTACCTGGAGCTTCGAGTTCGAGCTGCTGATGGAGGCTGCGCACCTTCTGGGATACTTCAACGGGTCCCTGCCATTCCCAAGCAACGGCACTAGAAAGGAACAAGAAATCTTCACGTATCAGTCGCTGCTGGCGTATACGGTTCTCCTGAGAAACATGTCACCACAAGAACAGCAGAGCATCAGAACATACAGGAGCTATGGAAACTCCGCGGAACTCGCATGTCACCATCTCAAGTGCCTCTACCAAGCAAACGACAGCGTGACACAAAGCAGACTCCTGCAACAACTGACAACAATACAAATGAAGACCGAGGAAAAGGCGATGCAGTATATGAGCCGCTGCCAGACCCTCCGCGACCGCCTGCTTCGGTGCGGAGGAACAATCACTGAAGAAAGCTTCGTGACACTTGTCCTCGCCGGGCTCGGGCCAGAATGGAGAACCACACGATCGCTTCTTCGCGCCCACGGAAGGATTTCGGAGATGCACCTCTGCGCCGAGCTTCACGCTGAACAATAGGAGATGGACCTGTTCGAAGAAAGACAACCAAGGAAGCAGCAGCAGTTAGTCTTCTACACTCAACGAAGAAACGACAACACCTACAATCGACGCGGCAAGCAAGAACGCGACAACAGGGGATTTACCTTCGTGCCGCCGTTCTGCCACAACTGCCAGACTTCCGGGCACTCCAAGGTCAACTGCAACCGCCCTCGCGTTTACCGTCCAGCAGACCACAAGTCGCTTCCACTCAAGCAAGTCCCCCAAGACGCTCTTCAACATCTGCACAACAGACACCAAACATTATCAATTGCATGGTACACATCGACAACTGCGCACCCGGATCACCACCCACTTACGCGCCAGACGAAGAAGAGCTCCCGCCACCGCGCTCACAAGGCCTTCAAGTCAATCCAACATATGCTGCGGTCGCCAACGCCGAACCCACCGGGCGAAACACCTGGTTCTTGGACAGCTGCTGCGGGCAACACATGTGCTCTTCGGGACGATTCGTGCAACAGGAGAAACGCCTCAACCGCGACGTCGTCATCACCGTCGCCAACAACGAAAATCTGAAGACAAACAGACAAGGCGTGGTTCAGTTACAATCCATGGAGACAAACGTCATACTTCAGCTCAACAAAGTCTTCATTGTCGACAACCTGGGATACAACCTACTAAGCATAAGCCAACTAATGGCCAAGGGGATTCACCTGGAGTGCGACTCCTACTCCAACGAGTTTCGGCTATACCACGGGAAGGGTGGCCTCTTCATCGGTCGTGCTCTCCTGAAATCCGGCGTCTTCGTGTTGGACTTCGTCCCCGACCGCGGTACTGCCGACAGCGACGGCATCGTATCATTCGCCGCCTGGACACACCCGCCGGATCTTGATCCAGAATTCGACAGTGACGGCTTCTGGCACTCCAACACCATACCTGCAGCAGAAAGAACACGAGCATTAGCAGTCATCAGACAAGAAAGACAAGTACCCGCGAGTATCCCAACCAAACCATCACCTGCAGTAGCAGCAGCAGGACCCAGCCGAGTCCCACCACCGGCGATCCGAGGACCGCCAACCGAAGCAGACCAACTTATGCCCATCCCACGAGAAGTTTGTCGAAGTCCCGCCACAGTCGTCGCGTTCTTCTCCAACGCCGACATATACCACCGCTCGCCGGGTCATCGCGCTTCCGACGACATCTGGCACCAACGCCTCGGGCATCCTGCAAACAGCACGATACTACAAACAATCCAAGCAGAGGTGTTAGAACGCAACGCCCTCCCAACGACGAGCGGCCAAGAACTTCGACGACCACGAGCACGGTGCTTCACGTGCCCCGAAGCAGATCTTCCCCATCAGCCTTTTCCATCTCATCACAACCCAAGCGCACCTACATACGCTCCGATGGAAAAAGTCTACAACGATATTTTAAACATGCCTCGAGAAGACACCGAAGCCGACTTCAACTACGTCATCACGTTCATCGACGCAGCAACCAGATACGTCTGGCACTTCAATCTCAAGACGCGCGATCAAGCTTTCGACGCCTTCACAACATGGCTTCCCATCGCCGAAAGAGAATCAGGAACCAAGCTCAAGAGCTTCCAGTCAGACGGCGCACTGGAATACCAGTCACAACGCTTCAGGACCTATCTGGCGGAAAGAGGAATCAGACGCCTAGTGTCTCTGCCCTATGCTCACCAGCAGCAGGGGGTCGCAGAACGCATGAACCGGACCTTGCAAACGACGATGCGAAAACTGCTTCTGGGGATGAGGCTGCCCACCACACTGTGGCCAGACGCGATGACACATGCAGTTCACCTGCACAACCTGCTGTCCTCGTCATCGCTTCCCAACAACGCATCACCGCACCTGTTGTGGACAAGAAAAAGGGGCAGCACAAAATTACTCCGAGTTTTCGGCTGCATGGTTCAGTACAGACCCCACACAGCCCGAGCAGGACGCTTCACACAACGAGCTCGGTGGGGACTACACCTCGGCATCGCCAAACATTTTCACGCGTGGAAAATTCTCGACATACAAGACAAAAATACCGTGGCATCACGTGATGTTATCTTCTACGAGTGACTGACGCTGCAGCATTACCTGGACAACATTGCCAACACACAAGACCCCACCGACGGCTTCTCCGGACTTCGTTCCTTCGCCGACCGTGCTGCCGAAGCTGACGCGGCAGAAGAAGACGTACCTGAAGCCTCGGAATCTGCAGGACCACTCCCATTCTGTTCCGTACCTGTTCCACTCGACGAAGACAATCCTCTCGATAGCAACAACCTCGACACCTTTTACCACTTCGCTGACCAAGGTTATATTACACCCCACCCAGTCGACACAAATGTTTCAGAACGCATCGGTCCCAACTTCTTACCTGACCCAGAAGACGGTGACGAAGCAGCTTATTCCGGGAATGAAAATTCCCCTCGACACACACCCACGGGACTGCAGATTCTAGGCCTCTGGGTCTCCGTCCAGCATCCGCCGCCGCCTTCTCCGCGAGAGCCTTCGACCCTGTCGCAGGCTCTGGGGGGGGAATATAAGGCGAAATGGAAGGAACCGATGGAAAAGGAGTTAAAGGCTCTGCAAGACCGGAAAACATGGAAACTGGTACCTGCAACAAGCATCAATGGGAAAAACGTCCTCTCGGGGAAATGGGTGTACCGCATTAAGACCAACTCAGACGGCTCCATCGAACGATTCAAAGCTCGATGGGTCGTACGAGGCTTCGATCAACGATACGGGACCGACTACACAGAAACCTTCGCTCCAGTCTCCCGTCACACCTCATTACGCATCCTACTCGCCGTCGCGGCCACGAAGACATTACCACTACGCCAAATCGACGTCGCGAATGCGTTCCTATACGCACCTGTGGACGCCGAGATTTTCGTCGAACAACCCCACGGATTCATCGACGACCCCACGAAAGTATGCCAACTGACAAAATCCCTATACGGGATCAAGCAAGCCCTGCGGCTCTGGCAGCAGCATCTCCACGGCCGTCTCGCAAAAATCGGATTCCTACAGCTGCTGCATGACCAAGGAATGTACCGACTGCAGAAGGGAAGAGAGTATATCCTACTCATCGTCTACGTCGACGGCCTGCTCTACATCGGCTCCACTACCGACATCGCCACCTGGTTCGAACGGAAGCTGAAAGAAGACTTAACACTCACGGTGTCCGACGAAGTGACCCAGTACCTAGGACTGAATGTCGACGAAAACGACACGGCGTTCTACCTACACGCTGGAAAGTACTCGGGCACCGTCGCGAAGAAATTCGGTCTAACACCGACTACTGTCCCAACTCCCTACCACTACGGGAACAACAACAGCACCTCCGCAAAACTCCCCGCGAAGCAAATCCAGGAGTATCAACAGAAGCTCGGCTGCCTACTATTCGCAGCAGTAACCTGCCGACCCGACCTGTCCTATAGTGCGAGTCAACTGGCGACGCATCTGAAGCAACCGGAACAGGAAGATCTCGAGGAGCTCAACCGGGCACTACTCTACTTCGTCTCCACGCCGACGATCGGGCTTACCTACAGCAAAGCGACAACACCGTCCGTACGACTACTCGGATACGTCGACGCCGACCACGCGGGAGATAGGGAAAATCGACGATCTAGGACGGGCTACATCTACCGACTAGAACCCATCGAAACTATCTCCTGGCAGTCGAACAAGCAGGAGTTAATCGCACTATCCTCGGCTGAAGCAGAGTATATCGCCCTTTGTACTGCGACCAAGGAAGGACTCTACCTGCGGGAGTTACTCGAGGAAGCGAAGATCGCGACCCTGCCCGCCTTCTCACTCCTCTGCGACAACCAATCTGCGATCAAAATCGCGAACAAGGACGGCTTCGCCAACCGAACCAAGCACATTGCCCTGCGGTACTTCTTCGTCAAGGATGAAATCGCGAAGGGGAGACTTTCTCAAAACTAGAATTGAATTATGATAGAGTTAGAGAGTACATGCACATATACCTAAATGTTGTACCCTCTAGGAGGTTACCCTATACAGTCTATACAAACATGATCAATAAACATGTTTGACACACCCCCTGGACTGCATAGGGGAATGTCCTAAACAAGCAGCTCAGGGCGGCACTACTAGTCCAGCCTCTGAGACAAGGGTCTGAAAGACCAGTCAGAAGGAGTACAGACAAGACAAGAACAAGTACAGGGCGGCACTACTAGACCAACCACTGTGAGAGGACACAAGTCCAGTCTGAGTGTACACATATATATAGGACAGTACAAAGTCAAGGCCCGAGTAAGTGAGGGACTACAGGAACCAGACCAAGCTGTACACAGTGCCGCTGATGATCTTTAGGCGCAAGCGCCTTCGTAAAGATATCAGCTGTGTTGGCACCGGAGGCCAAGTGTACTACGCGAGCCTGGCGACGCTGCTGGAGCTCGCGCAGGAGGAAGTACCGCAGCTGGATGTGCTTCGCTCTACCCTCGAGTCGAGGCTCCTGACACAGGAGGATCATGGCCCTGTTGTCAGCGTACAAGACCGGGGCAGAGCTAGGCCGCTCACCTAAGTCAGTGAGCAAGAAGGTCAGCCAGCGGAGCTCCTGTGCCGCCATGGCACCGGCGTAGATCTCAGCCTCACAGCTGGACTGGGCAACAGACAAGGAGCGGGTAGCTTTCCACGAGACAGCACCTGAGCCAAGGCTAAAGCAGTAGCCCTGGGAAGACCTGAGCGTCTCGGCGTCGTCTGCCCAAGAAGCGTCTGTGTGTCCAGTAAGGACCACTGGCCTGCGTCCGCCTAGCACTAACCCCATGCCCGATTTACTTGCAAGATAACGCAAAACCCTCTTAGCGGCAGACCAGTGCTGAGGTCGGTGTCTGCCTGTGGCCACGAAACGAGCCAGGATGCTGAGAGGGTATGCGAGATCTGGGCGAGTGCAAGTCATCAGGTACATGAGGCAACCCACTAGCTCAGCGTAAGGACCACTGGGATCTACCGACTCCTCAGGAACTGGAGCGGAGAGTCTGTGGTCCAGAGGAAGAGGGGTGGGCTGTGCGGAGGAGAACTGAAGGCCGAACCTCTGAAGGACCTGGCGCACCAAGTGTGACTGAGTCAGGGTGATGGTGCCCGCGGCTCTGTCCGTGGAGATCTGCAAGCCAAGGTAACGGCGCAGCTCTCCAAGGTCAGTGCAGGTGTGTCTCTTCAGCAGCTCTGCCTTCACGGCGGCCAGTGCGTCCCTGTCAGCTGTGGCAAAGACCAGGTCGTCTACGTAGACAAGGATGTAGAACAGAGTTGGGCCAGCACGAACGAAGAGCGAGGGGTCTGCAGAGGACGGAATAAACTGCAGGTCAGCAAGGGTAGCACGCAGCGTGTCATGCCACTCACGAGGCGCCTGGCGCAGGCCGTAGACTGGACGCCGCAGAAGCCACTGGGTCCCAGGGGGGAAAGTGCCAGTAAAGCCCTGAGGACGACGCAGGTAGACCTGCTCGTGAAGGCTGCCCTGAAGGAAGGCAGTGGAGAAGTCGAGGGAGTGAAGCTCGTAGTCACGCTGAGCCGCTACGTGTAACAGAACCCGAAGAGTAGTCATCTTCGGCGTAGGAGCGAAAGTCTGAAAGAAGTCCACCCCCTCGCGCTGACTGAAGCCTCTAGCCACGTAGCGCGCCTTGAACACTGGCGGCTCTCCAGGAGGGCGCTTCACCTTGAAGAGCCAACGGCCATCGACCACGTTCACCCCAGGTGGGGGAACTGCGTCGACGAAGGTGCCGGTGGATCTCCAAGATGCCATCTCCTGTTCCATGGCAGCTATCCACTGAGAGGCCCAGGGTCCCGAAACCGCCTCAGCGTAAGTACGAGGGGTCGGGATGTCGAAAGCGTCTGGGTCACCCTCAGGGACTAGCAGCATGGAACAGAGATGGGGAGCAGCCTCGGACAGGAAAGCAAGCTCAAACTGGCGGTCCTCCAGGACGTCACTGCCGAGGGCAGGAGCACCCCCGACAAACGGAGGACAGGCAGGGTCGGAGACCAGAGCGGTGGCGTAGTCAAGGCGACGGGTAGAGGCGAAGTCAGCGACCGCAGCGACAAGGGCGTCAAGACTCGACACTGGAATAGACGGGTCTGTAACCAGAGAGGCAAGGACCCGAGGAACAAGAGGACGAGCGGCACGAAAGTAGTCAGACAGAGGAGGAGACGCAACGACAAGAGAGGACGGAGGAGGAGACGGGAGGAGGG